TATGTCTAGAATATTATTAATATCTACAGGCGAGCCTCAAAATACTATTTTTCTTCAAGAGTTTGGTACATTTGCACAGAATGCAAATTCACAGCAAATATTATATCCCTCAAAACTTCGGATATTACCAGCAAATAAACAAAATTCATTGAATATTAACTCAACTGATAAAACGGAAACTACTACATTTCAATTACCACAGAATGTAAAAATAATCAATACTATGTCAAACATTTGTCCAACGAATACTACGGAATCGATAGATACTTCTACTATTTTAAATGGATCTGTGAAAAGTAACAACATTGTGGTTTCAAATAAAACCATAAATTATACACCATTTCAAGTAATGCAGAATAAAATAAATTCCAATTCATTAATTGTACAAAATGAAGCGATTGATCTCGTGAATTTGCCAAAAAACAATCAAGAATATAAATTAAAGGCATTAAAAAGACAACAAAGAATGATAAAAAATAGGGAATCTGCTTGCCTCTCACGAAAGAAGAAAAAGGAATATGTATCTTCTTTGGAGAAACAAGTATCTGAGTTGAAGGAAGAGAATAGACAATTAAAATCGGTAAACAGTCTATGCTTTATATGTATATACATTATATTTATAAATTTTTAATAAAAAATATTTTTCAATATTATATATATTTTTTTAGGAAAATACAATCTTAAAACAGAGACTGTCAGAAATGGAAAACAATATTACAAATAATAACAAGCATAAAAATTTCAATTTTAATCCTTTGAAAAAGAAAATAAAAGGAAGTGCTGTTATTCTTTTCGGTATAATTTTCATGGTATCTTTCAACGTTGACGGCTTTAGGTAAGCATAACATTGCAGTGCATCTTTCTACTTATACATTACACATGTGATTTAATAAAAAGTTTTCTAGAGAGTATAATTTAATTTTAATATTAATAATTTATACATGTATCTTAAAATAAAATCATAAAATAAAATCTGAACATGTTAAGTATTTTATTTTTTGGCACACGTGTGAATACAATACAAGAAAGAAAATTATTTCTAAAGAGTTGCTTAATTTAGTTTTTAGCTTTTATCAGTTTTAACATGATATAAAAAGAAAGTTCAAAATTTTTTTTAAGATTCGAAATTTTTTCAAAACTCAGTGAAGATATTTTGAGATTTTTTTAAACAAACAGTTGCATTGTATATATTTTATAAAAATTATATTTTATTCGACACAAAAATTTTTATTTTTTAAGGGGAACATCTTCACAAAATGTACATTTTAAAACTGAATCTGATAGTTTATCAGTATCTATAAAGGATAAACATAACAGAAGATTGTTTTGGACGGTAGATGAAACCGAAAACAATATGGAAGATCGAATTGAAGAAAGTTTTAATAAAAGTATACCGACACACCAACCAATATGTCCAATGTATATTAATCAGAGTGAGTCCATACGTTTAGACAACGAATTAAGACGCTGGATCGTTGGTGAATCTGATCAGGATAATCAGACTGCTTTAAGAAAAACAAAGTTTCAGACAGATTCTTTAAATGTATCGTTGTCAAGATCGCCATTGGAAGAAAAAACTAAAAAGAAATTGTACTTATCACGAGATAGGAAAATAAAAACTATGCATAAAATGATCGACATTCCTGCCGTTAATCAATATTCAGATAATAATGCAATTGAGATCTTTTCTCCAATATTGAGTGAACATGCTTCTTTATTTGAAGCTTTAGGAAGAAAAGATGATACATTTTATGTTGTCTGGTTTAGTGGCGAACATTTATTATTGCCAGCTTCTCGGAAGAATAACACAGCTAGACCTAAAATGTCTTTAATTCTACCTGCTGTAGCTATAAATGGTAAATAATATTATATGAATGTACCAACATCTATGCTTGAAAAAAAAAATCAATTCAATATAACGATATATAGGAATGACACATAATATTATAAAAGCATTTTTCTTCTAGGTACATTTTCAACGCCACCTAATCATATAACAATGATGCAAATTGATTGCGAGGTAACTAATACGCAACTGCTACATTTACAACAATCCATTATACCTGTCCATTTACGAAACAGTAAACCTATGAGTCAATCGAATCAATCTCATTCTGTTGAGGATATAGACAATCCATCTACAGATAATATTACTAGAAATTACAAACCGTACTTTTTGAAAGAAGCAAATAGAAAACATCGGTATAGAAAACATTTTATGTAATGATTACATAAATAAAAAAAAAATTAGAAATTTTGACATTTGTGTAATAAGAATACGCGCATATAAATATGTTCCTAGTCTTAATAATATGAAAAACATAAAGGATTAATTATGCGATATAAAAATAATATACTTGTTTATGCAATAACATAATTATATACTTTAGTTATATACATATATAATAATATATAATTATAATAATATAATATAAATAATTACGATT